TATTGCTAGAAGTACGCGCTCAAAGATTTACAAAATTAATTTTTGCAACTCAAAAATGCAATACAATTACCTGTAACTGTGCGCCAGAAGGTGGTTTAAATAAAAATGAATTGACACTTAAAAATTTTTTTTGATTATTGTTCTAAGATGAATAAAAAACTTTTCTCAACAGGTTTTAAAATCAGCTTACGTGCCCAATTTAAAACAAATTAAGTTTTAAATATTTAAAAATAGTATTTTATGAGGAACCAGAATTTATTTAATGTATACTTATATGCGTATAGATAATAGATGTTTTAGATTTGGGTTCATATAAATTTATTAACAATGAAGTTATTTTCTTGTTTCGTTTTTATATTTATGCATTAAGAGTGTCGAACGGTATCTGAAATTCTTTGGCAAGAAGAGAGCTTTAATTATCGCTCTGAACGTGAAATAGTATTGATTTTAAAATACTTTTTTCTCGAAACACGAACACTTTTAACAAAATCAGCCAAAATCCTCATCTTATAAATTTCCTAAATCCAAAAGACTGTACGAATCCATAGAAAAACATGGTTGCAAAACAAAAAGTAGAAAAGTAATCTAATAACAGCTGCGACTTTGTGCGCCCTGCACGCTGCTGCCATCTGACGGCGGCAGGAGGTAATGAACCCCTCATTATATTACTTTTCGTTTTGCAATCGTGTTTTTGTATTGATTCGTATAATCTTTCGGATTTAGGAAATTTATATAAGATAACGATCTCTAGCTGCTTTTGTAAAAAGTGTCTGTCTTTCTAGATGAAAGTATTTTAAAATCAATTTTTATCATTTTCACGTTTAGTGCCGTTTTTATAGAGCGATAATTAAAGGTCTCTTCTTGTCAAAAAATTTCAGAGATCATTTGACTCTCTTAAATAAATTTTGTCGCTTAAAATCGTTCTTTTAACATTATAATTTAATTTTTTAAAATCGGACGCAAACACTACAGCAATATAATTATTTATATGCAAAATTGAAAATAAGTAATTATTTTATCATTTATTACAGCATTTATTAGATTAAATAAATTCTGATTCCCCATAAAACACTGTTTTTATATAAAAACTCAATTATATTTAAATCGGGCTCGTAAACTGATTTTAAAAACTATTGAGAAATGTTTGTTATTCATCTAAGAATCATAATCAAAAAGAATTTTTAAGTGCCAATTCATTTTTATTTAAGCCAACTTCTGGCGCACCGTGCTGTGTATTCTTTATAATTATTTTCTGCTTAAAATATGAATAGTTTTCTTTTTATTGTTTATGAATTATTTATTGTTATACTATAATATTCATTAGTGTTTACAGTAAAAAATTTAGATATAAAATTTAAGAATAATTAATAGCAGAAAAATACGTTATGCAATATATATATATAAAAAAATATGTTTCTCATAAATGAAAAAGTGGAAATAACACTTGATAAGCTCATGGAATGAGTTTGTTCATAATTATAAAATTGGAATTGGTATATAGCGCATATGTAAAGGTGAAAAAGTGCCTAATGAGTTTCCTCTTTTTTAATAGCCAGGCGTTAATCAAGTCCGATTCATAGAGTACGTCATTAAAAAAAAGGGTCAGAAGAGAAAACGGTCGAAAATCCATTCTTGAATTCATTCATGCAAAATATACGCATACATACAGAAACATACTTACATATATATGCTATATGGTTGCTCTTCTTATTAAATGCCAAACCTCGTTAGAGGGACCATTAATGATCGTTTTCTTCTTATTTCCCATTCTGACTAGCAATGAGAATATTGAATGCATTTAAATATTTATTATTCTTTGCTTCATGTTTCAAATCTGTACACGGAGAGAAGAGATTTAGTCTATTCCACTAAACACGTTTAGTCCAGATTCTACTAAACAGCGTAGTCAGAGGGACTACTATAGTTCTGTCACACAAAAAAATTTACCAACAGAATAAAAATGCACAAATCTGATTGGTTGTCCACAATTAACCAGATTGCGGACAACCAATCAGATTTCTACATTTCGTTTCTGTCGGTAAATTTTTTTCTATCGATAATCGTGTAAATTTTTTTACTAAACAGTATCGTTTATTTAACTGAATGTTTAAGGGGGGACCCTCAATTAGACGTTTAAAAAATGCATCATTTTTGGGATTTTTTTTCTCTTGTAAAATAACTTCAAACATTTTGTAATTTATAGAGTACTTTATTGCATGTCTTGACAGTGTAAAATAATTATTGAAGACTGAAAAAAAACATTTTTACTATTTAAATTTACACCGTGGCTATGACACCTGATTTTGTCTGTGTACATTCTAGCGCTCTAAATTATTTTCTGAAACAAAAAAACCAATTTTTTTTTAACTTTAGAATAATACCTTCGATGTGACATTTCGATTTTTTTAAAAAATGTCGAAATTGATTTTTCTTACCGAGTTTTACGTTAAAAGTGATTTTTCATGCATGAAAAATTGACTTTGAAATTCCAAAAAAATATGAAAAATTTTTTTTCTCAAAAAACACTTAATGTCACATTGAAGACAATTTAATTAGCTTTAAAATGAGCTATGGTAAAGCCCGTTTGGTTCAATACAGCGTTCTCAATCGTGTACACAAAATCGAAAAATGGTGTTTCGAGAAAAACGCGTTTAAAGTTTTGAATACATACAAATTGGATGTAAATAACCTGGCGCGTCCTGCTAAAAATTTTGTAAATCCTTCAATAATACAGATATCGATTTGAAATTTTGAAGGTATATTCTTGAATAGTTGTAGAATCGATTAAAATTATTTCCAAAAAATCGATTTTTTTGACCCGATAAATGAGGTTCCCCCCTTAATCCATCCAAAATGAACGATACTGTTTAGTAGATTTAACTGAGATAGTAGTAAGATCTACTACGCCCTTCTCTCCGTGTAGGTAACGCGTTTACACACCGCAATGATAAAAAAATTTAAATCAAAATTATACTCTATTTAAAGAGAAGATTAAATTTTTATTGTTTATAGAAAAAAGATAAATAATTTATATTATGAATAATATACTGGAAAAAATATTTTTAATTTCACCATTTAATTTGGTTGGATTAATTAAAAATAAAATGATAGCAAGGGTAGAATGCAAATAAAATTCCTCATTGAAAGATGATGGGTTCATTAAAACGGTTTTAATTAGATTCAATTCAAATGCAATAAAATTGTTTGTGAGAATTTTGATGAAAACGAATTTTAAATACCGATTTCAATAAATGAGATATATAACAGGTTTTTTTATTAAAAAAAAATCCAGGAAATGAGTTTTACTATAGGTTAAATGTAAAATATGTATAATATTATTAAAAAATACTTTTTTATTTATTTTTTATTATTAATTTATATCATATTAAAAAATCTTTTTTAACAATTCAATTAGTTCTTAGAAAGAAGAAATTTTTTTTGCTCGTGGAAAGAAAATAAAAAAATGAATCAATGATACAAATAAATTGAAATACCGTTCGTAAATAAATGAAAACCTAAAATACAACCAAAAAAACATTAAACACATAATTGACATTATTTTGTCATTTGTTTGTTTTAATGGCACAAAATTTGAATAATTGAAAATTCAGTAGAAAAAAAAAGTAAAAGTAAGATACCCTTAGGGATTCTCGTTGAATGCAATCTCTTCTATTTTTCAAGCTTACTAATATCCCCAACGTCATTTCACCCTCATACGTCATTTTTCCACTCACTGAGACAAGCTTTATTTACCCTTATTTTTTCCTCCCCAAGGGCTGACAGAAATTTCTATTTAATACAGACATTTCTTTCAGTTTTCATATATATATATAGATTATATATATATATATAAAAAGCTCTTGATATCACGCGTGGAACATTATTTATTGTGAATTAATATAAACATATGATCTGTGGCCCATTTCAAGTTTGGGAAGTAAAAAAAAAAAACGCGCTTACTTTTCCATGGTTTGTTGAAAATGTGAGGGATGGGAATTTAAAATAGATTTGTTGAAGCGAAAGACTCCACGTCGTCTCTTTCTTCCGGGCTTATCGCAGCTAGGGTGGTGGTAGTGGCTAAGGGTCATGGAAAGGGATGAGGAACTTAGAAGAAAGGGAACGGGGTAAGGTTTGTGGGTCGGAAAGACTTTTGCGACTTGGCGAGAGATAGTGGAGTTCTTGCCTCTCTTACCCCTTTCTTCTTCTTCTTCTTCAATCCCTTCCCTCGAACTCTCGCTTCATATCCCATTTTCTTCATGCTGTCCCTATTTGAGAGCTTGTGCAACCTCTCAAGCAGATCCAAAGTATAGAATAGAAAGATAAGAAGCTGCGTTCACAACAAGGCGGAATTGTATTTAGAGCGGTGGCCTCACATAATAACGACGCGTATGACTGGAATGTCCCCCCCCCACTCCCATTCCATTGGACAATAACCTACATATTGCCCTCTTTTGAAACTTATGAGAAAGTCCGAGACAGACAATGTGTCCCGGAAGCTATGCAGAGATAACTAGTTGGCTTGGAAAGACTGCTAACTCTGAGTGACCCCATTCGATGTTTGCCCTCAGTAAGGACGTGCTTGCAATTTAAACTCCTTCTTTGCAGAAATTTCGGAAAAGTTTGACCAGAATTTCCTTCCGTTCTTTTCTTTTTTTTTTTTGTCAGGCGACTGGGCGTTCGTCACCTTGTCGACTTTCTTTCGTCGCATTGGTTATTAAGAAGAGTGCTGACCTCAGCTTGAAGACTGAGGGTAAACGGGGTGGAAGGAGGGGGGGGGAGGGAATCGTGAGAATCGAAGGGTTCTAAAAAAGAGTCTATAGGGCCGTCGCAGTTGGCTCACAAAAGTTTTTCTATATAGAGAAAGAGAGATGAAGTGAAGCAATGTTCTTGGTTCTATATAATAATAAAGGTTCGAATAGATTTACTGTTTGAGATTATGTTTACTGACATTTTTTCTCCTTTTTTTCTTACAACTATTTTTTTTTCTCCTTTGTTCGCAGAATTTCTCATGGAAATCTGATGATGGCTACTATCAGCTTTTTGAAACTACTGCTGCTGATCCTCGGAAGCTCGCATGTTCTGCGTGCTGACCCTGTTATATCGCCGACTGTCAAAAGTACAGGTAAGAGACAAGTTTTTTTTTTTGAAATTGAATAGACCAATTGAATTACGAATTTAGGCGCACTCTTATTTTTATATTTTTAAACCCGATTTAACCTAAAGGTTCTGGCACTTTGGATTTTCTTCTTGATTTCGATTTTCGATCATAAATACATCATTTTTTAATAAAAACGAAAATCTTTTGTGGAGCCGTTTTTAAAAAAAGTTGATTTAAAAATTAAAAATGATAACTCAACTTTTCTTCAAGAAATATTCATTTAAGAAATAATTTCATTAGATGGAATTTGTAGATATTAAAAAAAGGAATTTTATTGCTTTTACCCGAGGGGCTGTTCACTCTCGAATACCCGATTTGTAATGTAGAGAATATACTAGGTATCTTCCGAATATTCATCAATTAACATAAGAAAATGTAAATCTCTTGATTCTGAATATATTGTATTTTAATTGGAGATTACCGACGATTATTGAAAAGGACGTTCGAATTTGTCGAATACTATGCGAATCCAAACAAATCTCGTCGATTCCAGTAAAATTCTAAATCATGCAGTAAGAATTGTTGCGAGTCACGAATGGTTACGGAGACATACGAGTGAATTCGGCGGCGAATTATACAATTAATCTATTTTTCTTGCAATCTTACTCTTGCAAGTAATTACTTTAAATAAAATTAAAGCACTATTTCCCTTAATTTCAAAATAGGAATTACAAAAATGACTAGCAATCCTTAAAAATCTTTAATGAATTCTCAAATATTGTTCAATTGGATTTTCAGTGAACAGCCCCTCGCTTTTACCAATTTCCTCTACAATTAATAAATTACAGGAAAAAAGAAAAAAATAATATAATGAGAGGTTCATTACGTCCTGTCGCCGTCAGATGGCAGAAGCATGCAGGAAGCACAAAGTCGAAGATGTTATTATATTACTTTCCTAATTTTCGTTTTTCAATTTCGTTTTTGTATGGATTTGCACAATCTTTCAGATTTAGGAAATTTATAAGATAAGGATCCTTGGCATTTTGGCTGATTATGTAAAAGGTGTCCGTGTTTCGAGAGAAAAATATTTTTTAACACACATGCTCAAAATATGCGAAGCTGAAGTACGCAACGTTTATAATAAACGATTTTTAAAGAAAAAATTTTTTAAAATGAAAAATTCTATAATTTTTCGTCTAAAAAATATTTCTTGTAGTTTTCATAAATCAAAAAAATTATAAAAAAAAATTTTTTACCCAAACAATTGTAGAATTTTTCATTTTAAAAAATTATTTCTTTGAAAATCGTTTATCATAAACGTTGCGTACTTCAGCTTCGTCAAAATTTACTATTAAAATCAATGTTTATCATTTTCACGTTCAGTGCCGTTTTTATAAGGCAATAATTAAATGCCAAAGAATTTCAGAGACCGTTCGACACTTTTAAAAAATTATACTTTGAAAAACGAAAATTAGGAAAGTAATATAATAACAACTGCGACTTTGTACTCCCTGCATGCTTCTGCCATCTAACGGTGGCAGGACGTAATGAACCTGTCATTATATTAATTTTTTTTCGTTTTTCTGGTAAATTTTTAATTGTAGAGGAAATTGGTAGAAACAAAAAAAATTCCTATTTTTAATATCTAAAAATTCCATCTGATGAAATTTATTCTAAAATTAATATTCCTTGCAGAAAAGTTGAGTTTTTCATATTTTGTATTTTCAAATCGACTTCTTTTAAAAACGGCTCCACAGTTGATTTTCGTTTTTATTAAAAAATGATGTGCACAGAAAATTAAAAGGTATTAAAATAAGCTGCAACGCTTATTATTGTAATCCAATTTTGCTTATTTTAATACCAAAATGGATTAAAATAAGCAAAATTGAATTAAAATAATAAGCGTTGCAGCTTATTTTAATGCCTTTCAATTTTCTGTGTATTTATGATCTAGAATCGAAATCAAGAAGAAAATCCCGAGTGCCAGAAACTTTAGGTTAAATCGGTTTAAAAAGCACCGTGGATGATTTAAAATTTTTTTTCCAAAATGTTGACACTATCAGATTGGCATCAATTCAAAATGGCGCCTCAAAAATAGCCGCCAAAATGTTGAAATTTGTAAAGATAACATAAAAAAAATGTTACCCTGATTATTTTTCAACTTAAATATTTCAGTTCAGTAAAATAATAATATAAAATGAAAAAAAAAACAAATTTTATTCGATTTTGTTAATTGTCAATAATTAAAAATTTCAAAATTTTAGATATTACTTAATAAATATTATGTATAATATTACTAAAATTTCGAAAATCTTTTTTAATTTATTTTTCTCCTATTTATGAAAAAAGTAACCACGCAATAATAAATATATATAATCCCTCTAGAGGAATCAGATTTTAGATTTAAGCATTTGCAATTTCCACACGGGTAGTTTGAGAAAAAAAAATACATCTTAATGTAGGCATAAAGTTAAAATTTTAATGGTCCTTTAAACTTGTACAACATTTTCCACTTGTGAGAAATCGTTGAGTTGATATCCTGAGGCCATATAATGAAGTTTAAAAAGCTCTGACGATGTTTCAAAAGTTTTCCCAATGAATATAACACATTGCGTTAAATTTTTATTTGTATTCCCCCTCGTAATTTTTGCTCTCGGTAAAAAAAAAGTATGCATATAATTTCTTCATTAAATTTGTGTATTCAAACAGTGAAGTGTAATTATTGTTGTTATTCTAATAAGTAATTAGTAAAAAAAAAAAAAAAATTTCTCTTTTACAAACATTTAATAAAGATTTCATATATATTTTTCAATATTGACAAAAAATATGTATATATTTTTTTTTAATTTATTACAGTTATAGTTGTAAATTAAAAAAAGAAAATAAATTTTAAATTAAATCCTACTAATTGGAATAATGTTTGTTTTTAATTACGTTCATATATGTAAAATAAACTTTCCTTTTGTGAGAAATTATTATTGAAATGAAATTTGTTTAAAGTGTAAATATATGGTTCTCGTGTTGTACTTTATTAATTTTGTTTTGTGTGTGTGTGTGTAAAATATAATTTAACGTTTTTTTATAGAAAAATTGATGAAACTAATAATTATGATCTGTCTAAAACTGCATTCTTAAAACGCCGAATTTTTATTTTACAGAACTTTCAACTTTGTCCGAATAAATATTTGTCAAAAAAAAATTTGGGCGCAAATTTTAAAATCAACCAATTATAATTTTACTGATATCTTCTGAGTGGTTAATTTTTAAATTTGCACCCAAAATTGTTTGCCAAATATTTATTTGGACAAATGAAAATTCTGTAAAATAAAAATTCGTCAATTTTAGAATTCTGTCAAATGTAAATTTGAAAAAATTAATTTTCTACTCGAAAAGAATTCTTTCTAATTTTCTTTCTGTGAAATAAAAATTCTTTTAAATCTACTATTTTGTCGAATGAAAATTTGATTAAATAATAATTTTCTTTCAAAATTCAAAATCCATGAAATAAAAAGTCTGAAAAATGAAAATTCGTTTCAGTAACAATTACTTGTAATAAAAAATCGGTAAAATGGAATTTTTGTCAAATAATAATTTGTAAAAATAAAAATTTAAAGAAATTAAGAATTCATCTAAAGTTAAATATGAAATTCTGTTAAATAAAAATTCTAAAAAATTAATTTTTAGAGCTTATTCAAATTTTTCATTATGAAAATTCAGCATATTATAAAATCCACTTTACAAAAATTTTACTAAATAAAAATTCTTTTTAATTCGACACCATACAAAAGTTCCAATGGGTCTAAATGCTCTAATGCACTGTAAAAAAAATTAGGGAGTTAAGGGTATGTCCCAGTAAGGCAGCACCACCTATATCGAAACTAAAATTTTGGAAAATTATTTACAGTATTTACTTGAAAGCAAGACAATAAAATACTTTTTCCTTTAGGATAATTGATTATTGTCAAGAAATATACCAGCTAAAACTTTTTTTGAGTTAAAATAATGAAAAAAATTTAATGTCGATAAATATTTTTTACGAAAAGTTTTAAGATATTTTCTCGAAAATAACAAAAAAATGCAATTTTCATTTGAAGAATTAATAAACACTAAAAAATATACCAACTAAGATTCACCAATCACGGAAATAACAAAAAAAACTTTTTTTTAACATAACATATCGACACTATTTTTACTGATTTTGACAGCCATTTGGCAAATAATATATTTGCATTTGTTAGCAACAGCGCCAATCTCCTCCATGTTGGCAGAATCACAAAATAACTTGTGACATTTATTATTTACCAAATAGCTGTCAAAATCAGTTAAATAGTGTTGATGTGTTATGTTAAAAAAAAGTTTTTGTTGTTATTTTCGTGATTGGTGAATCTTTGCTGGTGTATTTTTTTAGTGTTTATTAATTCTCCAAATGAAAATTGCATTTTTTTTTTTGTTATTTTCGAGAAAATATCTTAAAACTTTTCGTAAAAAAATATTTATCGTCATTAATTTTTTTTCATTATTTTAACTCAAAAAAAAGTTTTAGCTGGTATATTTCTTGTCAACAATCCTAAAGGAAAAAGTATTTTATTGTCTTGCTTTCAAGTAAATACCCGTGCAGAAATTTGAGTTAGATTTTAATAGGGACCTCGCTGTGCATCCCTTTTGCCAGATGGGTTCCGGAAGGGAAACTCTAGGCTTGACCCGGCATTTTTCGTAACGATCGACGCCAGCGAGGAATGTTAGTAGGGATCTAGCAGGGATATCCCTGCGATTTCCCTACCAGGAGTAAAAGGTTCTCGCTAGAACCCTATTAGCTCCCTTTAATCGATTATTGTTAAATAAAAATTAATAAATATTTAATAAATCCAAAAAACATATTTATATAAAGATCCAACGTCCTTTCTTCCGTGTGTGTTTTTGAAATTGTAGAGTGAAAAACGCCCGTTATGCTATTTATTATACCCATAAAGTTTAATTGAACTTCCTAACCTCCAAACAGTACTAACACAAATTTTAACCAGAAT